CGAGTATTTCGCTACTAAGTATTGATAGAACTTTTCTTTAATATTATATACCATATACAAATATACTGATATAATATACTTGTCTCTATATAAATCATAAAAAGGGTTTTTTTTATAATAAGCATCTTAATATTCAAATCCTTAACACTTTTGATATTATATAATTAGTTTCGATTTATAGAAGTTTTCTATTCTTATATTATTTCCAATAATATATAGTCGCTTTTGAATAGCTAATTCTGCTTCTGATTTTGTGGTAAAAGTAATAACTATAATTCTTTCTTGTTGATAAATTCTTTTGAAAATTGATATAAGCTAGAAGGAAATTCCGATTGATTTGAAATCTGGATTAAAGGTTTTGATTTTCTTTAAAATAAGATCTATTCCTTTCAGTCCTGAGAATTCTCTTATTAGGATTTTGTGGATAATAACTTTATGCCATTCTTAATCCTTTTGAATTCTCTTGAATTTAATAATATTATTTCAAATAGTTTTCTTTTCTAAGAGGAATTATAATGTAAAGAGATCGTTTATTGTAATAATAATATTGTTATTAAAGGATAAAATAGCTATTGTAATAACTGGCCCTTTAATTCCACTCTTTTAAAAGGCTTTGTTTATTTTATTTTGAATAGTTAAAAAGAAGAAGGAAATAGAGTTTGGGATTTCTGGTTTGATCAGGATTAGGTGTCTTTAAGTGATTTCAATCTTTTTGTCTATTAGAATAGACTTAATAGCTTTTTCTTTACTAACTAAATTCCATTCTCCTTTTTTTTATTATAATTGCAAAAATTGATTTAGTTGATATTATAGTAATTGGGATTGGATTTTTGGCTAGTATTTTAGCTTGGGATTCGATTTTCTGTATAGCTGATTCGAGGTGAGTGATTTGGGATGCAATAATATTGAAGATTATAGTAAGCTTTCCTTTTTCAATATATTCTCTAAAGATCTCTAGAAGATCTAATAACTTTGATTGCTTATTATATGATTGAGAAAAAGTTGAGATTAAAATTATAAGATCTTTTACTTTTAGGATTGCTTTTTTTAGTATAATTGTCTTGTTTTGTATTCTAGATTATTTGTTCTAATTACTAAGGGATATTATAAAGCATTGTTTCTTATTCTAATTAAATATATAGATAGTATTGATTATATCTTGAGTAATAAAGAGATCACTAAATAAATTAAACTCTTTAACTCTTTTTTCAAAACTAATTAACTAATTGATTAGTAGAATAAAGCTAGAGATTTCGAATTGAAGATTTTCAAAAGGCGAAAAAAAGCTTAAAGGTATTGGAATATCTAAAACAACAATAGAATAAGTATTTGATATAATAAAGATTTCAAAAGAAGCCTTCATTATAACTATATCCCCAAGTATTGATAGATTATCGAGATAATTTATATTAAGGATTTTATTCTTATTTTGATAATTTGAGGTGAAAATTTTATACGAATTTTTGTATATGTTTTGTATTTGGAATGCTGATAACAGTATCACAATAACTACTGATTAGAATCACTTGGGGGCAATTGTAATCAATTTGGTTTAATAACTATGATCTAAATCGATTACGAAAGGGTTGTATTTCGAAGAAAAAGTTTCCTTCGAAATTTGTTGTGTGAATAATCTTTTATATTCAGACCACGGTCAAAGATTGTCTGCGCAGAGACTCTATGCACAACATATTTCATTGGAATCTCCCATTCGAGTAGATATTCATCCTTGAATAACGCAGGGATTCTTGCACGAAACCTATTGGGCATCTCTTTTGCAGAATGACATACATTTAGTTCCCTATCCGGAACTTGAATAAAGGCAATCCAGATATCGGACAGATCTTCTCCATCTTTGTAATGCTTATTGAAAGCAGTTTTTAGAGCTCTAATGATACTAGAAGTCACCGAAACCAAAGCGGTTGGTTTTCGATTAGAGAGCTTCTTATGGTTCTCGAATTCCCGTTCTAGGTTAACCGATTTCCCCATTATATGCATGTCCCTACTATGTGCACAACTTTGAAAATATCAATATTATAGCTTCAAACATCGATGATATGCCTTTAGAGGCTCGTATAGAGTTTGTATTAGATTATTTGAAAGGGGTTCAAGCTTTTAAATATATCTAGATAGCTAATTTCTTTAAAATTGATTGATCTACGCTCTTCTGGTGGTATAGAGATAAAATTATCTCGAGAAAATAGTTCTTCTCCAATACAAAATAAATATTTTTTAATAATCAGGAGGAGGTTTTAATTAATTAAATTAATAAGTTGATATAAAGATCTATTCTTTTTATAAGCTGTATAATCAGAAACCTTGTAGAAAAGATTCTAGGTAGAAAGGTAGGAAAGAATTAGATTAGCAATTTTGTTAAGAGGTATTTAATATGTCTTAAAAGTCGGTATTTCTGTTGTATTAATAATTTATATGTGAAAACTAATAATATTACTATATTTGATTATTTTTATAATCTGGTTTGAGCTATTTTCTATTATTGTTAATCTTTATTATCTAAAACACTTTTGTTAATGCCCCTCTTTTTTTAATTTAGTTAATAAAAGTAATTATAAAATATAATATACAACCGAGAGATATATATAATTGGGATGAGAAAGGCTTTATAATTAATATAGAAAGGATTATGAAGAGGATAATAAATGCTAATACTTATAATAAAGACAGAGTAATAAAAGCTAAACAAGATGGATCAAAAGAGTTTATTACCCTATTAGTAATTATATACACTAATGGAACAGCTCTTCTTTCCATTCTTATTTATAAAGGAAACTCAGGAAATCTACAAGATATATAGGTTCAGGATGTAAGGAAGAAGAATAAAGTCTATTTTGAAGCCTCAAGCAATAGATAATTGTCAAATGCTTTTGGCCTATATTGGCTTATAAATGTATTCGACCCTGCTACACATCGAAAAGCAGATGAAAGATATCGTCTACTTATTGTTAATAGTTATTCTAATTATATCAATATAGAATTCCTTTCAAAATACAATAAATTAAAGATTATTGTTTTAATTCTCCCCCCTCATTCTATATATCGACTACAGTTTCTCGATATTGGAACCTTCAATGCTCTTTCGACAAATTACAGTATATTATTGAATAATTTGATATACAATAGCAGGGGGATTGTTGATATAACAAAGCGTATGTTTTGGGATATATTTAAAAAGGCTTGGAAGCTTATTTATACAAGACATAATATCTTACAATCCTTCGAAAAAACAGGTATATATTCTATGAATAGGAGTCTTATAATTGACTATATTACTCCGAAAGCTTCTCTTACACCATCTATATTATTTAAAACTTGCAGGAATGTTTTTGTTATACCGTATACATCAAAAGTGATGTATAGAATGAAATTAGAATTTCGTTGCGCTTCTACCTACAAGATCACTTTAAAGCTTTTTAAGATTACAATTATATTAGAAGCTGAAGCTTCTATACAGGGGTATAGATCTAAAGATTTAGAAAAGGCTCTAAAGCTTGAAAAAAGGAAAAGAGCTTGTTCAAAGTGTTTAAATCTCATTGGAGAGGAGGGGAATGATATGTTTTTATGGTTACCTTTTGCTATTATTAAAGCTAGAGTGTATCAAGAAGATAAAGCACTTAAAGAGGAGTAAGAAAAGGAAGCTAAGCTTCAGATAAAAGCTGAAAAGAAAGCTGAGAAGAAACGGAAGGAGATTGAAACAAAAAAAAGAGTATTACAGAGGGAAATTGATTATCAGATTGCATATGATGCGAAAGAGGAGATTAAAAAGACTCTAAAATCAACAAAATCTCCAATCAAAAGAGATAAAAAGTTCCCCAAAGCTTCTTCTACTATAGATCTAACATCGACAAAGACTATAGAGCTCTCTGATGCTGTAGAGGCTAATAATTCGAAGGGGAAGAAGGAGGAGGTCATATTGTGATCTAGTAGAGGGCGAGCACTACGAGTTCCATCGAAATTCAAAATCTGAAGATTTTATTATGTTTTTAGATAGTATTGTATCTTATCATTTATCAATTAAATTGCTAGCTCTTTATCTTATAAATTGGAATTGTTATTAATTTTTAAAGTTATTCAAAAAGGGTGATCGAGATCGTGCATATAGCAGGGACGTGCACGTAGTAGGGAAATCGGTTATATGAGAACGTTGATGCCAACCCTGGTTTGCTTTACCAGAAACGAGGCCACCAGCGCTTGTGGGTGAATAAACGCGATAGAAAAGTTGAGAGGACATATTATCGTATCCAAAATTATCTCAATCTAGGGATTTGGAAGAAAAACTGGTGACTGTTGACTTGAAATGGAGATTAACATTGCGAAAATAAGTAGTAGTTGTAAGAGGCTCTGAGCTATTTATCCGGTGCCAGCTGTCAGCTTTTGACCCCGCATTCTTCTTGGCCACTCATTTCATATACAACTAGATAATTGAATTCGACACACACTCGACAACACCCAATCAAATATTTCAAAAGCATTACCCCGTAAACAATGTAACTGTAATTTCATGTTCAAATAACACAAAAGAGTTCTTGGTTGGATGAATGACAGACAAGTAACATTCTCTGGATGAGATGCTTGAGATTCTAGCTAGAAACACACTTGTTTTAGACAATAAATCCGTTGCGCCCTCGAATGAGAGCGCTTATTGAACCGCTAAGTTCTGAATACATCAATCATCGTCAATTGGATAAAACCATGTTTCAAGTTATACAACAAATCCCGAAATATCTTTGACTGAAATGTCTTTCTCGAACACTAGCGATGACAAAACAAACGACAACCCCCAAACGCCTTTTTTTTAGTTTTTTAATTTGATTTCGGATTGTTTAAAGTTTGTTTTTTTCTTGTCTTTTGTTGAGTTTAACCGTACCGTGTATCTAAAAATCAGTAAAGGAAATCATAATCATGAAATCTCAAGCCCAGCAATCTCACAACCCAGGATTCTCATCTTCGACTTTTGCATCTGCTACTCTTTTCTCTGTTCTTTACGTCTTAAACTTCTTCGCAGGTACTCTCTCATTGAACATCTCATCTAACTCTCCATATGTTCTATCCTTCGTCTCTGGTATCTCTATCCACACAATAAACCATGTAATACAAGCTGTTGCAAAAAATATCCATCCCATTTTTCCACCTAGATTTCCTTTAGTCGCATTGAACATGTATGGTACAGCTACGTTCCAAACAGTAGAATAAGAATAGTTGAAAAAGAACCCGAGAGATTGTGATTTAGCTCGTAGACGGAGAGAGGAGATTTCTCCGGCAAGGGAGATGGAAGGGCCGATGGTGAACCAAACCATTTGGAGTGTTACGCCCACACACCTGTTTAGTGAGTTAGCTATGTTTTGTACCAAGTATGATAAAGGGTAGAGGGAATGTGACGCACCATGAGAATGCTTTCGATGAAGAGACACTTGCTGTAATACCCATGATCAAGAAGAGAACAACAGCAACTGAAATACCAGATAAGATCATTTTTCTTCTTCCAATGAAATTCATGAACCAAAATGTAAAGAAACTACTAATCAACGCAAAACCAATACCCAATTCAATAATCATTGAAGATTGAGATGAAGAAAGGCCGGCTGTGATCATAAAGTATGGAGCATTAGAGATGAAAGTAGCACCAATCATTTTATTGAGACCGTTTGTGTAAAGAATGATTCTTGTCCTGCGCCAATTTGTACCTTTAAAAAGGTCCATGTAAGAAGTTTCGCTACTGGCGTTGGCTTGGAACTCTTCTTCACGCGTAATTCGGACCATACTACCGAGAATGGGTTCGACTGAGATAGACTTATTGTAAAGTTTTGAAAGAGCTTTGGTGGCAGAAGATAAATTGCCTTTTCGGACAAGGTAATAGGGTGATTCATGAATGATGAAAGCGAATAAAACAATGACTAGCGGCCAAACCCAGTTTGAGGCGAAGAGAACTTTGTATGAAGACTGATTCATGATTGTTACACGATCGAAGGCAACAGATGCCGCGATAAGGTATCCTAAATTCTTCAAATAGTTAGCAACACAGCCTAATGATTGAGAATGAGGCACCTTACCATGCTAAAAGCATACGCTGACAATGCTACTCCGCGAATCCTAAGAGGAGTAATTTCTGATACATAGATTTGACCAGTAGTCAAAGCCACACCAAGTCCAATAGCATTCACCATTTTGCCTCCAGGAAAAGCTCCGGGTGTTGTGGCTGTGTATATAACAGCAGTCCCGGCAATTGAGATGAGTCCAGATACACAGAAGGAAACACGACGACCGAAACGATCTGACACAGGTGCAGCTCCCCAAGCACCAAAACCTGTACATACTTGTGCCATGGCATTCCGCAATGATTGTCAATAAGCAGGTATTATGTATGTACCAGGGGATACTTGTTCACCAAATTGCGCTCTAAAAAGAACTGTCAATTATTGATCCCATGGCAACTAGAAATAAACTGACTGGAATGGCACCACGTTCAAACAAAGTGAAAGTGCAATGTTATCGAATCCGTACATCAGTGCCCCCATATTAGCATAGATACAACATAGCACGATGAAGGGATTCTGTTTGATCGTCTGCCAAATGCTGAGGTCCGAAACATCGGGTTGAGTTGTGTCGATCGTTTCCACGCGTTCGAGATGCTGTGCTGACAGTTTAACATTGTCGTCTGTGGTCTTGTTTTCCACAACAGGTGAATTTGTTGTCACCATCGTGCTACTCAAATTGAAGAAATGCGAATCGTCAATTGACAAGATTTGGATTAGGAAAAGAAGGGGGAAAATGGCCCTGTTTTAAGTCAAGGCGAAACGCTTGTTGATAGTGGAGTGGGGTGGAGTGTGGAGGAAATGTGTTATGTGGAGGGAGTGTGGAGTGCAGCAGAATGAAGCACTTGGTATGGAGAAGATTTTCGGTGGCTGACCTGGAGAAGTCATTGCGTTGGATGTGTGGGGATTGGGGTACGACTCCCCTAAGCCGCCTTGTCACTGCCCTCGGCAGGGTGATATCCATGACACGGCCAACATTAGCGATAAGCTTGACGGTACTTGCCAGAGCTAATTTGGAAAGATCTAGGCTGGGGCCAAGTCTTATTGAAGGAAGCCAAGGACACTTGTCGCTAGCTTTCTGATAATCGCATAAAAACTCCTTCAACGAGATGACAGGCTACGTGTTCTACCAGTGATATTAGGCTTCATAATGTTGCTATTGCCAGTGGCGAAAACACTCAAGAAGATCTCCTCCAGATCCAGATTTCAGTGACGGCATGTCTTATGGAGATTGAAGATACCTGGCGGCAGCTAGACTAATATCGCATTCTCGGGGTAGGTACTAGAGAGATGTGGGGATGTGTTGGTACATTTCGGTCGACGTTGTTTTGTCCATTCCAAGCACGAGCCCTATGAGCTTCCGTGGTCCATTTAAGCGAGCTACTACTCTTCTTGGAACTTCCACTCTTCCACCTCTTCCACTTCTTCACTCCTTCCACCTTCTCTCCGCATGGGGTAGTGGACGGTATGGGGTACACTAAACATGCTCGAGACATGTTGACGAATCTTTAACCGGACTAAAGCTTCAAGAAGAAAAGCAATTTAATCTTTGACTACTTTAAAGAATACTTAGTAGCCATGAGCTGCCATTCTTACTTTCAATTGAGCTATACTATCTACCACTCAAGCTTTCACCATGCCCTCCTCTCCGTTTCTCACTGACGAAGCACAATGGATCTGGGTGCCAGATTTTGATGATACCATCGATCCTGGCCAATTTGTTCTATTTCGAAAGTCATTTACTTTGGAGAAGCTTCCTACTGAAGAAACTATCCTTCATGTCTCTGCAGATACTCGGTATCGTTTGTTTTTGAACGGCAAACGAATCAGTTTTGGGCCTTGCAAAAGTTATCCAACAAGATGGTATTACGAGACCGTGGATATCACTCCATTTCTACAGCCCGGAAAGAATGTGTTCAGTGCAAGAGTCTTAAGGTTCCCCGTAACAACTGCGGCCGGCACATCGATGGCCAGAACTTCTCTGGCAGGACTCATTCTCTGGTGTCAGATAGGGGTGAGTAGATTCTGAGGTGGCGGTTTACACAATCAATGAGCTAATATATATGAGCAGGAACAAAAGCTTCATACCGATGCAACTTGGAAAGCCGCTAAAGACCAAGAAACATCACTACTACCATCTTAAAAATGGGATTATCGAATGGGCCCTCCGTTTCTAAACCTCAATGAAGAGGTTCATGCGGACAATAAATTTTTGGGATGGGAGGAAGTCGAGTTTGATGATGCATGTTGGAGGAACGCTGAGATAAAGACCTTGAAGAGAAAGATGTCACCAATGCTAGATGCAAGGAAACTCATGCCCAGGCCCATCCCTCACCTGCCTGAAATATCTCAGCAATTTGAAAATGCAGTAACATGCTCTGAAAATTCGAGCTTGAGCGACTGGAAAATGCTACTGCAAGACGATATACCTTTGAAGTTAGAGGCTGGCACAGATACAATCGTCGAAATCGAATCGAATAGCTTGACTACTGGATTTCTTGAATTTAGCTTCGAGATTGACGGCTATGCATCTCTTGCACCCAAGATTGAAATTCTCTGTGCTGAATCCTATGAGAATGATATGGATAGTGGCCAGCCAAGGTCAAAAGAGGACCGTACGAATTTCAAGACTGGAAAATTGTATGGACCAATTGATGCATACATCTGTCATGCAAACCAGACAAAATGTTATTACGAACCTTTCTGGTGGCGCACATTCTGATATATTCGGATATCTGTAGCGTGTCCCCCACATACCTCACTTACGATTAACTCCATCACATACCGTTCCACTCATTACCCTCTACCTATCACTACTACTATAAGTAGTACCCCTCTTGTGGAAAAGCTCCACTCGACATCTGTTAGTACTCTCCTCAATTGTATGCATGAAACCCATGAGGATTGTCCGTACTACGAACAAAATTAATTTACCATGGACACTCGCTCTCAACTTCTATTCTCCTACACAATTTCTCACTCGGACCTCCTTGCCCGGAAAATGATTCACGAGTTCTTTGCATCTCGTAGAGATGACGGGCTATTGGAAACGCACTTTCCAAATTCTAGCCGCTCCATGAACATACCTCAGTTCTCTTTTTACTGGTTATCTATGATTCATGATCATTCATCACACTTCCAAGATATCACATTCATCAAAAAGTATTTGGGCACTATTGATGGAATTTTGGATCATTTCAGTGATCGTGTGAATGAGCTCGGCCTTGTGGGACAATTTCTTGAAGAAGGTACGTGGGCCTTCGTTGATTGGGTGAAAGAGTGGTTTACTCCAGGACGAGGATTTTCTAGTCTAGGAGTTCCCAAAGCATACTTTGACAAAGGAGCTGCAACTATCAACAGCTTAGTTTATGCAATGGCTTTGAGGTCCACTACAGTTTTGTCCGAAGCCGTTGGCAGGAAGGCCACTGCAAGTGAATACCTTGATAGAGCTAGTGCTATCATTCGGTCTGTCAATAAAAATTGCTATGATAGCAACAAGAGTCTGTATCTCGATGGGCCCGGCGCTATTGGAGAGAGTTCATAACATGTCCAGATTTCGCAGTACTTGCCGGTGCTATAAGTGGAGATTCATCCAAAGATCTAATGAGAAAGACTATTCACGAAAGAGAACCATTGAGGCTTTCAAATGCATTATTCGCAATGTCCTTCTATATGTTCCGAGCTGTTGCTAAAGCTGGAATTTATGAAGAAGTTTGGGAGGAGTTACTAGGCCCATGGAAGAAGATGCTTGACCAGAATTTGACCACTTGGGCAGAGAGTGAAAGTATGGTTAGAAGTGATTGCCACGGATGGATTGCAACTCCAATGTATGAGATTGTGAGGGAAATTGGTGGCATTCAATATCCAACCACAGAAGATAGCGAAGGATGTCTAACAACGATTATTAAACCTAGATGTGATTTAGTAAAGCATATGAAAGGGAAATTTGTGGTTACGGGAGGTAAAAGCGTAGAAGTTTCCTGGGACGACTCTGGAATGGTTAAGGTTCTCAGCTCTAGTGATATGCGGGTTTCAAATGGTACTAAAGGGAATCACTCACGATACCAAACTTTTAGAAGGCGTGGAGCAGTCTTTTAAGCTAGAAAAATAGATCATACAAGGCATAATATAATGATTTCAATCATGGCTGGCCATCTTTTTCCTGAAATTAATAACGATGGTTAACTTTAAGGAAAGTTTTCTGTCTCATAGAATACCTCAAAAACAGACTGCAGTGCTGGTTTGTATGAAATACATATCTCATACTCAACGTGTCATTTGGTCGAGACCAGCAGAACAATTTGAAAAATACGTATCAAAATTGTTTATCGTCCACACCCTTTGGAATTTTCGACGTAGATTTCAACGCCATGGTCCCTACACTTGATGCGGTTTATAAGCAATGACGAAATTAGCAGCAGATTTTCATTATGATCATTGATATCTCCCTGTCATACTGTATACCATGATTCGATGGAACATCAGCAACAGATAATATTCGCGTGGTACAACACAACAGATTATTCCCACAGTGATGGTGAATCGCTGGAATACAACTCATTCAACCGTACCAAACACAATCATCTCAACACGTTTCTTCTTTGAATGGTATAGATAATCATGTATTGAAACATCTCTGCCGTATTGACACACAGTTTTTGTATAAAGTTCTGGCATTCCTCTTTATTAAGACCTTAATGTTGATTCTATAACCCTTGACTTTTTCAAGTAACTTAAAACAAAACTTTTCGCGGCATAACAGGACACAGCTTCGAACAAAAAAAACGCAAACACTTATTTCTTACTCCATTCACGATCTGAGCTAAGAATCTCATCACAAAACACAAAGGACAAATCATCAATCATGAATCAAGCAGCACGTGCCCTGAATGAAATATCACAAAGCCTTAATTTCAACAAGAGACTTCCTCCTTTGGATGCCTATGAAGGTCTAGATACACCTCCACAACTTGAATACGCGGATCAGACTTCCTGGATTACTGTTCGTATACATCCTTCCCTTTATTCTCATTCCAGAACCATCTTCCGCCGTCAATCTCGAAATATTTTTCTACCCTTTCATGCAAACTTGCAGGCTAATCTCAACGTTACAGAATCACGCAAATAACTATGCTCCTTCTGCCATCGTTCTCTCCCAAGCAAAGTCAGGCACATGGCAACAAATGCTCGCGAGTCTCGAGGCAATCACAGACTTCGTCATCCAAATGTTGGAGAGGTATACATCAAGTGGAGAAGTCAAGACATGCTTGTCAAACGTCTCTGGGAGGATGTGAAATTCCCTGGTGTAGATCCAGATCCAGTCTATGTGAGTGCTTTTCCGATGAGAGCTTGGAGATGAATTAGGATAAAGCTGATGATATATGATAGACACAAATCCGAAGAAAATACTGTGCAGCTGTTAAAAAGTTGATCAATGAGAAGGCAGAAAAAAGGAAGAGGATGACATTGCTGCTCTAGTAAGTCTTTTCCGTCCATACAATGTTCTTACCAGATGAAATTGCTGACAAATCCGAGATCTTCCTCAACGAAACTTATAACAAGAAACTCATGTTAGCACGAAATTTGAGGTTAGTACCGAGAGCTTCACTGACCGCGTTCGTGCTATCAAGGCCAAGAAGGCTAAGGAGGCGCAGGAGGCTAAGGACGCTGAGAAGAGAATCCAGGAGATTGAGGCAGAAGAAGAGAGAGAAGAGATGATGGAGCAGGGCGAAGACGAGGACTTTGTAGTTGTGGAGATGGAGGATGCGGATGATGAGGATTTCGAATGGGAGGGTGATGATTGGGATATGTCGTGATTAGCTTCTGAGGAGGATTAGGGGGGTCGGTAGCTGTTGGTGGCTAATGGAAGAGAACATTACTAGCTAGGTAGTCTGGCAGGTTGTTGTGGGTTGCGCGTCCGGTTTATATTGCATTCTTAGTTGTTGCTTTGGGTTTATATTCTGATAAAAACCCAAAATAGAATATAATATTCTACTTCACATATTTCTGTATCCTCGTGGATATAAATTTCAATGAACCACTACCTCATTGAAGACAGATGATATTTTACATTAACAATCATCTTAATCAAAAAGTAACAATTGGGGGTTATATCATGATCATATTGTTTCTCGTTTAACCAATTCCTCATGACTTGTTGATTTTATGATCACCCATTTCAAGCAACTAATATTTCTCTATTATGGTAGCCCGATCTTCTCATAACATCCTGTCCATTTCACTTCAATTATCCAGACCCTTCATATTTTATCTGATACTACCCACATTTTGATTAACATGTATAGACATAAGCACCTGGCATTTGTCTAGTCTGCAGATCCGGGACTATTTGATTTCCTGCTAGGATTTTATCTGGTTTTTCTTTCCAGTTAAAATGAATTTTAAATGTAAAGATGAAAGAAGAAGAGACTTTCAATCTGGGCGAAATAATATCTTGCGTTGGTTCTTTCCGTTGGTTTCTTTCCCCTTGTTGGTATCAACTTGGTATTGATTAAAGTGTAAAGTACTTTAGTCTTATCAATATGATTGATTATATTATTCATCTTGATTATTATGATTTATGGGAAGCTAATAATTAATATAATAAAAGTGCTAGCACTAGTGTATATACTAATGTAATACGGTGCTCTTTTTAGATTACATAATCGATATTCCGATACTAGCAACTTTTAAGTTGAATGTGATCATATACCTAAGCTTATTATTCAATCTTAAATATAGTATTCTATTTCTACTCCCTTAGCTCCCATTTCACTATTCTTTTTTCACTTAATATATTATTTAATAATTATTTTATTAATATCAATCAAGTCTTTTAAAGCTTAACATGTATTGTTTTTAGTTATGGTATCCGTAGGATTCGATTCCCATCAATCCATTTAATCTTTCTGATTTCCCTATTCTTGTAGTATTATTATATAGCTATAATATCGATTAGAAGGCGTTTTTTCTGTGCTAGTGCTGAGTTTAGTTAATAAGTTATATAGTGACTTAGAATCCGTACATAATATCAATGGTATTTGTTTTTTAAACTTGAGAATAGCATTAATAATACTTTTAATAGTAGTATTTATATCAAAACCTAAAATTAATGCATATAGCTTAAAAGCTAATATATTTCTAGTAATTCTCTTGTATTTAATCGATATCTAATGGATAATATTAGTATTACTATATTTATTTATTAAATATATGATATAACTAATTTATAAAGATAGATCAGTATTATTAGTAAAGGATATATTAGTAAAGACAACTAATTCGATAGAATCCATGTTAAAAGATATAAAGGTTAATCCTTTTTTTAGATTATTCATTTGTTATTTAATAATCTTATTGAGTTTAATAATATTTTTTTCTTTTGGATTTATTATTTGGACAATAATTAAAAGATAATATAATACCTTTGGTTGATATATTATTATGATATATATATTTCTTGTATATTAAGCAATATATTGATTTTTCGAAGTAATATTCTTTCGAATCTTTCCCCTCATTCCCTGCATATCAATATTTTTTAGTATAATTATTCAAAAATTATCGTATTGTTTTTTTTAATTCAAATAGATTCTATTACCCTTAAAAATAATTAAATCATTATTAAACTTAAGTGGATAATCTTTGGTAAATTACTTTCTGTTTTTAGCTATAAATCCGGCTTTCTTCAACTACTCTTATTCTAATTATGCAAATCTTTCATTTACAATTATAAAAGTATCATTGGTTTGTAATCCTATAATGCTAATATTATTATTAGAGTAAAGTAAATAGGGATTATATATAGATTATATTATATTTAGCCTATTCCTATAATGATTATAATAAATTCCAAATCAATAATTTCCTGCTTCTGGTATACTATACAAAGGCTTTATAATATATAACATATATCCGAAATCAAGTTTGATCTCTTCTAATACTTTCATATAAATAGGTCTATTCAAAGTCGTGGTTAATTGGGTGTATATTTGTATAACATTTTGTAAATAGATTTGAATATACTTGTTTGATACTTATAAAATAACAGTAAGTGTAAATATAATACATTAATTAATATATTGAATAATCGGTGATTATTGTCAAGGTACGGGTAAAGACTTATATTGTATTATAAGGGTAGAAGAGCTATAGAAGAGTAAAGCCCTACTTATAGAAAATAGGGCGCACTAGTATACTGTGCCTGAGACACGAAGGCAACTACAAATCATATAATTAGCACCGTAACAGTACCCCCTGCTCAAGGCGATCGGTCTACGATCGCAATATCAATTAACCTTTTAGAAAACAAAATAACACTAAAATACTCTAATTTCTACTATTGAATTAAAATGAACTTTCTTGGGAGTAGTAATCAATTGCTGGAGCTTTTTAAATCTGTTTCGGCCTTGATTCGGGATGCGCTTGGTATAAGTATTAGTAGGGGATCAGGAGTAGTAAATCTTTTGAAACCTACTCAAGCAAACGGTTCTAGCTTATTTAGATTTGCTAAGTGAAAAGCAATAATCGTGTCTTTCTAACCGCAAAGGTCTTCGATGGGTTGCCAAGATGCTGAGTAATGTTTCCATTTGACTTAGTAGTGAAATCCGTTTTTGTTATAGTAGTCAAATAGTTTATTGAATTCTTATCGCTCAATTTCCTCATTCGTTTCGTTATCTCTTTTTAGGATACAGCCTTGGTTTCGGCGGGATTCGGTTTTGTTAATTGCTTCTTAACCAGTTAATCCAGGTAAACAATAGAGTGATCGGAGTAATGAATTGTAGAATATTGAAAAGATTTTAAAACTAATAGGGAGCTGGAATAGACAGGCTTATTTATAAACTTTTAGAATCTTATAAAAGCTATTCCATTTGTTATCACCTTTCTTTATTGAATAATTGGTTTTTATATTCTTAGTATTAATCTATACTTTGTTATCTTCTTTGTATAGAGGGGTATCGGTACAAATCTTGTTAGCGTAATCTTTATATCTCTGAATGGATTGAGCAGCTAAAGCTTTCAATTTTATTAAGATAATATCAAATCAGTCTGCAATCTCGTTAGCCTTTAGGAATTCACATTTATATTGATATAATAGATTTAAAGAAATAAGTAAAGAAAACTCAATGTTGAGATATAAATGAAAACCATAATTAGTGAAGAATAAGGATACACCGATAATCTCTGAAATAATATTATTAAGCACAAACTCCACAAATAGGAGTCAATCATACCAATCATCTTAATGAAAGTTTATAAAAATCTGAAGATATTGTTTTACCATAGCATTGATCCTCTCTGTTTGTCCATCAAACTTGGAATAGAACGAGAAGGATCATTTCAAAATGATCGATAAACATTCGGATAAGTGCTTCCAGAATTCTGATATAAATTGTAAACCTCTATCGGATACTATATTATCAGATACACTATATAAGCAATAAACTTTTTCGACAAATCAATCAGCGAGCTCCTCTACGGATAATCCTATAACCAGAATAAAATGATACATTTTTGGTAGGCAGCAGATAACTGTAACGATATATTGATACTTTTTGCTATAGCATTCGCTGATTGGTAATGGTATAATATAGTCAATAGAGATATCGGACCAGGAGCAGAATGATACTAACAAAAGTTCTAGAAATCCGGATATAGCAAGACGGGAGGCTTTGGTTTAGAAGCAGAGTTAACAGGCTTATACATAAGTTTCGATTTCTCTTGATATATTAGACTATCAGTATATGCAGAAAACGAAATCAATAGTTTTAACTCAATCGGGATGTTCTGCTGGACTAGTAAAATGCATTCAATATATAATCTGGGTGTGAAGCTCAATGAAGAAAAGAATAAAAAGGTAATCGCAATAGAAAATTTTATTATTGATTAATCTACAATCTTGAAAAGCAATTCGGAGATCTTTTCGAATCGATAGCAATCAATAGTAAATAGTTGGGTTCTAAAGTGTTTTATGTATGATAATAATCAATTTGAATAATTTATATACTTTATCAATAAGATTGTCAATTGGCTTTTCAGTATCGGGGATGATTATACCCATAGACATTACAATAAGATCGATATTGTTATTTGTTTGTCGAATGAGGTTCTTGAATATAGTGATATCGAATACTCTTTTTGGAAGGATTGTTTATAAGTAATTCTTGATTCAGTTATTATTAGGATCAATATATACAGAGCAATCTTCTGCTTTCCTATTCAGTACATCAAGGCAAACTGCTTTAAGACCTAGTCTGTATATAATACAAAAGTTGAAACCAGCCAGGAATTCAGTTTATCTAGTTTGTCTTTGATTCAATATCTTTGTCAATATAAAATACTCTAGATTCTTATAATCAGTAATAATCTCGAACAGTTTTTGAATTCCATATAGTTCGAATCTCCATTTTTCTAAGGATTTAATAATATTGATTGATTGATTGATTTAGTTTAACGTCCCGCTCCAGTCCATGACTATATAAGACGGCTAGGCTCTAAAAGCTTAGCAATGCTAGTGAATATCTACAGTAGATATGATCAATTTTGGGGGAGTAAAAACAAATATTGGGGTGCTCTGCCCGATCTCTATTCGGAGTGCAAATAGAGATATAATGTTTTCATCCACTGGGACCTTTCCCTCTTCCTTCTTCCCCTATCCCTAATCCTATTAAAGTATCCTGATATCCAATCCTCTTTCAAACTTGGAATCCAATTTGCTATCCCTTCCTTCTATAAGGAGCAAGAGTTATCCCCTCCCGAGTTACCTCCAGTATAGCAAAAGGTCCTCTTGCTAGTGAGATGAAAATAGAAGGCACCA